AGCAGAGACAAAGGTGATGGGTTCCAAAAGGGTGGAAGAAAGCCCCCCCCGCCGCCCTGCGTCGCCAGCGCCTGACAGCACAGGACGTGCACGCGGGGAGAAAATCAGACCGGAGCCGAGAGAGGAGCTGGAGGAGAGGCACAGAGAATAAGAAATGGCGAGAGAAATGCCAGCCAGGTAACTTGTATCAACTGTAGCACGTGAAAGGAAAAATGCTGAAACAAGTAAGGAAGAAACCTAGTTCCAGAAAATGCCACTTCAGGAGGGGGAAAAAAAAAAAAAAAAGGCATTATTAACCTGTGGAACTCCCTGCTGCATGGTAGCATTTAGCCCAAAAGATCAAGAGGACATTTATGTGAACATCCATGATCATAGTGGGTAGACAAAGAGTTTATGAGGGGTATAAACTGTTATGCTTCAGGGCACAAAACAACAAATTACCAGAAAAAATATCTCTCCCAGGGGTCTATCATGACAAAATTATCTGTTCTGTAGGGCTTAAGGTTTTTCCCTGAGGCATTTGATCAGCACCATGGACGTAACCCCTGGCTGTGACTCCTTTGCTCCTGTCCGCAGCAGGTCGGACAGCGCTTCTGCAAGTAACGACAAGATAAAGTGGGATGCAGCAAAATCACGGTGGGGAGCACAAGCTCAGAGAAGGAGGAGCGGCCGGTTCCCTGGGGGAACGCACCAGGTCAGAGGCAGGAGGCACAGAAAGAGTCAACGGCAAAGCCGCACGCCGAGTCTCCACTAGCTCGTTGGCAAAGCCACCAGCACAGTCCAAGGTAGCAGGAAAAGGACAGGATTTACAGAGGAAGTTATCGTGGCAATAAGATGCTTTTAAAACAACAGCAGTCTGCACAAGAAGCAGCCAGACGCTATGTAATCATTTTTCCACTACGTTTCCGCTCCCAGCTTCCTCCTTCCCTTCCCAGCCTCACCCTCCGCACCGGTCCTGTAGCCGCACCACCGCTTCTGTAGCCACACCACCGCTTCCCCTCCCGCCGCGCCGCCTCCTCCTGGGGAAGGAGCCAGCAATGCCCTGTCTGCAGCCCAGCACCGGGCAGTCAATGTGCATCTCCTAGTGCAGCAATTACACAAGGACCATCAGCCTCCCGTGGAGAGAGGGCCAGCCGCTGCTCGCAAACGCCCCCAGCAAACGGGGATGAGCCTGCGTCTCTCCTTACGCACAAGCCAGTGCAAACAGACGAGTGCCAACTCCAGTGCCAGAACGTCTTGGCTGGAGCCGCGGGGAGAGACAGGAGCCCTCCAAGGCCTGTTGCCTCTGCCAGCTCTACCTGTCCCTCTGGAGTACGGACGGGGCTGTCCCTCTCTCTCCCCATGCCTCAGGGACTCGGGCACGTCTTTGCAAGCCTCCTTGCCAGCGCTTCTTACCAGCCCGGGACCTTCAGGGTGCTCGCTGCGGGCAACAACCAGACTTTCACACCCTCCTCACATCCTTAGTCTCTACTCCAATCTTTCCTTCTTGCAGGCACAGGGCCCTCTCCCCTCCAGCCTAAGCACCGGGCTTGCAAGATGCTCTGCTTGCTGCTCCCCGGGCAGCTCTGCCTGGCTGAGAGCTCGCTGCCGCCCGCCTCGGCACCCTGTGCCCCGCTGGAGGCCAGGCAGCTCCTCACTCTCTTCACACCCCTTCTTCTTCCAGCTAGAAAAAGCTTCAAATACTTTTGCGTGTCTGATAACAGCTGCAGAGAAAGCGAGCGGCTTTCCTGCGAGCGAGGCGCCTGTCAGCACGGGAGGTGGAGGCAGAGGCCGTTGCCAAATAGCCAGCGAGCACTTTCCTTCCCCTCGCCACCCCCAGCTACCAGACAGACAGACAGATGGACACGAGCCCTCATTCTCATTCCTATTGCATTCCATTTTCCAGGAGACACGCTCACAGCTGCTTATGTTAAAATTCACAAAACGCCCAAATGGCTGAGGGCTTTTTTTTCCCTTTTTTTTTTGCCATTCTGGGGGAGGGTTTCTCTTTCTCGGGGTGGGGGATAATTCTCTTTCTCCTTTTTGGAAGAGTGGCTGCAGCTTGGTAAATAGAGGAAGTGAAATTGAACTCAATTATTCCAGGCACAGTCAATGCTCGGGCGAGACACCTCCATCTGCAGCCAGAGCAAGCGTCTCTGAGGGGATCCGACTCTAACAGCCAACTGCTTTAAAATTAGGTACTTCCTTATTCCAAAAGCAAGCCAAGGATTGAATTGCAGCAACACAGGGCTTGGGAATGAATTCTCCAGTCACCAGCCAGCCAGACCCATCCTCAGGGTTTAACCTCGGCCCGCACGGAGAGAGGCTGGTCAGTCCCCGCCAGTCGCGCGCTCGCCGCGTCCCACCGGTGGGCAGAGATTTAGCCCAGACGCTTCATTCACCACCGGCAGGGCTGAGGGGAAAGGTGTAAGGCTTCCCGACGGTCCTCTCCTGCACACACGCTTGCAACCCTGGAAGCGCACCAAGCGCGGGATCATTTGCAGGGTTACTGACATTGCCAGCAGAGCTGGGCTAGCAACTGCTCCTTCTACAGAAGCCTTTCGCCTCTGTGGTTTTCTTTGCTTTGTCTCTTCGTGCCCCCAGGAGAAAGGATGCACGCAGATGCACACACAGTAAGCCTGCTGGGTCCAAGAGTGAGGGCAAGACAGGCCTGCTGTATGGGAACAAGAAATATTTTCCACGTACCCACACACAGAGAAATATAATACGGCCAAAATATTTATCTCGGAGAGTTTGTTTTCCCTTCCCATTTATACCAGGGAAACAGGGACTGACTGGTGGAAATATTCTTGGGAGGGGGAAGGTAAATACCAATTCTTTGGGTTCTGGCCTATTAGCAGTTTCTGTGCCACAGAACTTAAAAGCTAGAGGGTGGAAACCTATTTCCACTGGAGTTAGTGGCAACACACCCCTGTTCCCTGCAGAAAAGCCCAAAATCTCAGGGTGACTGCAGAAGAGCTCAGCCCTAGTAGCTCCAAAGACTCAGTTGCCATTCTGCGCACTCAGCACCCCTGAAGTCAGGCATGTGGAGCCTGGTGTTCAGGCATCCCCTGCTGCCCTTTTGCTCCCACCTCAGCTCCATCACCGGTCTGAAGTCACCAGATGCATGAATAACCCCAGGAAGGACTTCTGCAGGAGGATACAAGAGCTGATTACAGTGGTCCCTCTGCCCTCAGTGTGTATCTAATTTGCAACTAGTACAGGGCCAGCCCTCAGCACACGGCATCCAGTCACTGGCCCTTTATAATTCTAAATTCCCTAGAGCAAAAGGGCTCCTGTCCTTCCTCCCGTGCCTCTCGGGAAGATACTGCACCGTCTGCTCCATCTCTGTGCACGGCTGCACCCGCTCACCACTGCTCTGGCAGTTTGGAGAATGATAACAAATAGGTGCCAAGTGGCGAGAAGGGACGCACCTTCTATTATAATAATGACATGTCACTGGATCCTGCTGGACTGCGAGGATGCATAAAGGGCAGCATCTATTCCCTGCCAGGCCTCCTCTGTCTTGCTCTGTGATAAATGATGGTCCGAGAAACTGGTAATGGATTACAGAGCATTTCACCAGATGGGGCCCAGCATGTAGGGGCTGAAAAGAATCCATCGTCCCAGGCCAGTGTCTTGTAGACAGGTGTCCACGTAAAAGCCTCACCGCCCATGCCGCAATCCATTTATAATTTCCCTCCCTCCTCCTGATATCCAGCTGCTTCAGAAGAGAAGCCAAAGGCTGAATGGGTCAGGGAGAGCAACGCTTCTGGCCATCCCAGTAAGGGAAACCTCTGCCGCAAATCCAGCAGCCAGGCTGCAATGGGGCTGTCTCTGTGGCACGGAGACATGCGAGTTTTTGCTCCTGGCATCACAGGAGACAATTCGGGTGCCAACTGGGAGACCAGTGCACAAAGCAAACCCACTTGGAAGTCAGCCCACCTATGGGTTTAATCAGTTTTGCTACCACTCTCTAACCCCTCTCCCATTCCTCCCTGTCCATGCACCCCCTCCTTCCCGCACACCAGAGAGGGCTCGGGTCATGGAGTCGCACTGGAAGGCTTGAGTTAATTGCTCTCCAGACTACAGATCGATAGAAGGATTTTAGCCTCCTGCACACTCCATCCTTCACCTTTTCCAAAGGACGGGGCTAGAGCAGGGCGGCGGGAGGAGGAGGGGAGCAAGGCTGCTGAAACCTTGACGAGATGAGGTCATCGAGCAGCCGCCAGATCCCCAGAAGGCAGCTCAGGGAATCGACCCAGCTCTGGCTGCCTCATCGATATTCTTCCCAGTAGGGACAGAAAACAGCGCTCTGCCTCCAAAGGAGCCTCCCCTTGCTGGAAGACCAGAGGAACTGCCTGAAACTCAGTGGTCATTTTCAGCCAGCCACTTCTCTCTTCTCCTCCCTCTGGCTCTTCCTTTCGGCCCGCCATGTTACCTGCCTCGTTTAGGTGGTTACTTCATATTACCAGCCTCCAGCGTACAGCACGACATTGCCACCATCCAGGCAAAAAGAGCAGTCCTTGTGCAAAAAAAGGATTACGGAAATTATCTGGCACTAGGGGAGAGGTGGGTGCAGTTCTGTCTGTCTGTCTTCCGGTGGTCTGTCTTCCCCAAGGGCCAAAGTAACACGTTTTTCATTGACACACGTTACCCCAGCACACCCCACGATCCCCGCAGCATTTGGATCAATATAGCCCTCAATATTTCAATTGCTGAACTCCCAACTCCCCTATCGACCTGCTGTGCTGCGTCGAACAAGGTGCCCTGTCTTCCCAAGGCTGTTTCAGGTGAGAGCTTTTGCTATGGAGTGGTACAGTGCCTCCACAACAGGGCCTGAACTCAGTTCTGCTGTCCCGCAAACAGGCAATATTAACAGCCACGACAACATGTGAAGCTAGCCGAAAGCAAAAGAGCCCTCAGGAGAAGACCTACAACGCTGGAACAGGCTCCACAAATCAAGAGTGCCTGGAAACTGGGCAGTGAAACACAGCCCTGATCTTTGCCGAGGCCTCAAGACACGATCGTGATATAAATTCGAAGTGATAATAATAAATGGCCTATTACAGTAACTCGCGGATTGCTGGGGGAGGGAGGAAACCCATCTACAATCCAGGCCTCCCTGCAGAGCCTCACACAAGCGATGAGCACCACAGAGCTGTGCATTTCCCTTTTTAATGGCCGGGAGAAAAAGGCTCCTGCGAGGAAGCCTCAGCAGCCCAAGGCATGAAAAATCGCTTCCTCCTTCCTGGTTGGAAGGCAGCTCTAATGAGCGATGGGCAGCCGCGTTCACAACCGCGGCAGCTCTTTGCATAGAAAACAGGCAGCCTCAGCAACCCACATGCTATGCCCCCCTTTCTCCCTCCTCCACGTGGCAGGAGGTCCTACCTCCTGCTAATTGCTCAGCCAAGTAATTAGCTGAGGCAGATTTTGGCTCTTGGCTAGGCTAGCGGGGCTGCCACCCTGCTCTGCCCGCAGGAGACCCCTGGGCAGACCAGCTACCAGGATTTGAAACGCCACTTTGTACCACCCGTACTCACTGCTCCCTTCTGGCTCCAGCTGTGCCTGCCTCTGCTGCCCATCTCCATAGCCCAAGGGACGGCGCCACTGAGAAAGCGAGCTGGCAACGACTTCCCTGCCTGCCTGTCCCATCCAACACGCACCAATCCAGCTATACCAGTGCCTGTGAGACTGAGAAATATGCCACAGGCAGGGGAAAGAGCCCATCTACCTCTGCCCTGGAAAAGGGGCACGGCAGTGGTAACTCTGACACCTCCAGGGGCACGGGGCAGCCAAGATGTGCAAGTCACTGCTGGGGAACTCTCTGACACCCCATCCCAAAGGTGCTGTCTCACACACTACCCTGGAAATGTCCCGGATATGATACTCAGCAGGGAGGAAAATGCTGCAGCTTTAATCCTTCATTTACCTCTCCTCAAACCAGGGCAACACGCTGAGGGAGAACCGAGCACATGGGAACCAGCCAGCCACCCTCCAGCCCTGCACATCCCCAGTGCCATCTGCACCTCTCCCTGCAGAACAGCCTCACGACCAGCCTGTGGCCTCTGCCCACGCAGGGCCGATCCAAGTCACCCTGGGGAGCCCTCCTTCCGTTCTCCTGCTGTATCTGGGTGTTTCTCTCCAACCTGGCCCCTCCAATCCCCACTGCTTGGAAATCACATGAGCACAGCCCAACAGTCTTTGCAGCCCTTCAGGCCACCCTTCCAGACACAATACTTCTGGCCCTTTACTTTGTAGGACAGCACCTTGCAGCCATTAATAATTTTTGTTGCCCCTCCCTGAAGCCCCCCATAGTTGACTGGTGTCTGCCCTGGAAACATGGCTTCCAAAGGCGGCCCAAGCAATTGCAAGATCCCTTAGTCCATCATATTGCAATCTCCCTTCTCATGTGCTTGGGACTCACTTTCTCCCTGCTGGCCCTCTTTATGACCCTTGGTTTGCTTCATTGCAAATGGGGTCCTTTATACCAATTAAAAGAGGGTGCTTGGTTCCCTGCAGAGAAAAAAGAACTACAACCACACTGCAGAACAGGAAGGGGGAAGAGTCCCACTTGTAGCACGCTGCAAAACACGTCACTGCTCCAGCCAGTAACTCAGCAACAGCCCCCCCTGCACTCACCTGCATGGAAGTAGGGGCTCATCGTGTAAGGGAATCCGAAGGGCAGCGGCTGAGGTGGTGGGATGGAAGCTGGCGGGAGATATTTCACCTCGGTTTTGTTGATGCCTGGGCCAAGCAAATGGCTGGGGGACTCGGCGCTCGAGGAGCTGCAGGGGGCATTTTGGCCAGCCGTCGCTTCACCCAGCTCCTTGGCCCCTTCACAGACTTTGCCCGTCTCTTTGCACTCCTTAAGCTCAGCGGTCGAGCTGCTGCTCTCAGCCTTCAGGCTCTCCAGCTTCTCGTCGCTCACATCCGCATCGCTCTCAGAGTCCTTCATCTCCTCGTCGTTACAGTCTGGCACCCCATCCCGCACCCGGGGCTCCGCCAGCTCCTTGGCCTCGCTCAGCCCCTGCGGCTCAGCGCGGTGGTGTGCCGATTTCCGGCTGCCCCGCCGGGGCTGCTCCTTGGGTGGCGTGGCACTGCTGGGGACGCTGGGGTTGAGGGAGAGCAGGGGAGTGTTATTGTGCCGCAGCACCAGCATGGCGTTCCTCCGGGAGAGCTCCTCCCGCAGCGGGTGGCCCTCGGGGATGTCGTGCACGTTGCGCAGGGCCGGGTGGTCTGGGGGCAAGCCGGGATGCAGGCTCAGTGGGTCACCAGCCAGTAGCCTTTGCCTGTGGAGATTCTCCAGCTCCTTCTGGCGGATGATCTCGGCCGACATCTCCAACCTAAATTGGGAGAGGCAGAGAGGGAACATCAGGGGGGTGGGCTCCGTGAGTAACTTGCTAACTCCCAGCCACGCTGAACCAGAGCTTGCAGGATCAAGATGCCACCTCCACACCCACACACTGTTTCCATTGGTCTCACTCGGACACCGCTCTGTCGCCTGTGCACAGCTCATCCAGCACAGCACCCCACATTACTCTGCCTGCTGCTAGGAAAGGGAAGGAAAAATCCAACCCAAGCCCAGGCAGGCTAGCCCTCTACACTCTTTACCTTGCCAGGTTTTGCTTTCGTAGCATCTCTTGCTGCCGTGCAAACATCTCTGCTTGTGCCGGCTGTAGGAACCCGTAACCTGGGGACAGGGAGAACAATAATATGGGGTTATTAATCTCAGCATTGACTCTTTGCTAACTCAGGGCCAGCTCCCCAGAGGGCTAACTGAGCAGGAAGGGCAGCTGGGAGCTGCCTTTCTGTTCTAGAGGCCATCTATTCCCTCACTCCCAAGGCAGCGCAGCCTGCTGCCGAAACATGGGACCAGGCAGGCTGGTGGGGATTAAAAAAGAGAGCAGCCAAGGCAACCTGCTCCATCACTGCAAACCAAGGGTGAAGTCAGCACAACAGTAACGGGGAAAGACAGAAAATGTGCCTGGGCTGTCTGGCTAAAGGACAGTTTGTCACAGCCTGCATCTTCGCTCTACCCACTTCCCCTGGCTGATTGCAAGCATTTCTTATGCACTCACCTGGTGTCTGGCACAGAGCCGAAGGCACCCCGAGGAAAGGAGGTCTCAAGTGGGGTCCCAGGGCAATATGGGGTGCATTCTGGGGTGAAAGCAGAGGTGGTGGGTGGGATATCTCCCTGCAGAAATCAGAAAACAAATTCATGTTGAAAACCTGGCGGCTCTATCCACAGTGCCCAAAGGGCCCTGGCTCAGGAAGACCGTCCCTTCTGCGGATGCCCTGCATTCTGCACCAGAGGCTGTTCTGAGATAGAAAGATGCCTGTTCACCCATATGCAAAACTTTTAAAAGGGAGAGAAAAAAGAACAGAAGCAGAACCAGAAGGGGAAGAAAGCAGCCAGGACTCCATAGGTCCCACACGCTTTCCACCTTGATATGTTTGCTTCTGTGGCCTTTCAGCTGGGCTGTTCAAATGGGCTTGGGCTGCCCAGGGCTAGCAAAGGCAAGGCTGAAGATGCTGCATCTGCCTGTCCACTTAGCAAGCCTAGGTTTCTATCTCAACTACCTTACAACTGAAAAGGCATGCTATATTTTGGGAGCTGGAGAGTGGGTCTGGAAAGATTTGAAGGCATCGCTGGCATGCCTTGCAAAAAAAAAAAAAAAAAATCACTGTCCTAGCTGGGACAACAGGTGATCTTTAATTCCGGAGAAAAAAGCTTTAAGTGATGTAGAGGAAGACACAGACAGGAGAGCTGGGGAGAGGGATGTGAGCAGGAGGTGCCGGGGGTCAGGAGTACTACTGGAGAAGGGGTGGGCAATGCTAGCCACAACGGGCAGAGCAGATGGAAGGTGGCAAGCAAGCTGGAAGAGGCAGGTTTGAGGGGTGGGGAAGAGGACAATACCTGGAAGCAAGGCAGGTAGCACTTGCTTGCTTGCGGGGGCAGGGGGGAGAGGGGGGTGGTAAAAAAAAAGGCAGGAAGGGAATAAGAGCCAAGGTCTCCTCCATTAGTCAAATCTGCCCTGGGAGCCTGCAAGCAAATCTCTGCTTTCCGGCTGCACGTCTCTTAATTCCTTTTGATGGCCACTTACAACATTATTACCTTCACCAGGGCATCTAGAGGCAAAGCCAAGTGCTGTGCCGTTTATTTTCATTTTACAATATCTCCCTATAAAATCTGCTTCAGGAGAAACTGGAGGGCAAGAGAAAGGGAGCAAGAAGGTGCGTGTGACTTTGCAACAAACAGACCATACGCACAACCATGCTCCCCCTTTCAGCGGGGGGATGACGTTCGAGTGTGGGATCATGTGAGAATCCCAGCCATCCATGCCCCCATCCCACACAGCTGGGGATGGATTACCACCACGGCTCACGAAAAGCCAGACAAGGAGTCTTTGGGGATGAGGTGGGCAAGGAAAGGATTCCTATCCTTTCCCTAGGTCTTCCCGGCATAGTTTTATCCTCATTCTATGCAGCAGCCACTACAAAACACTGCCACACGCTGATCCACAGCACAGAACGGGCTGAGATTCCCCTCCGAAATTCCTCCTTCTCCCTACCCCTTGCCCATCTGCCTGTCTCTGCCTCCCCCCTTCCCGTCTGTCTCTGCTCCCCTGCTCCCCTTCCCCTGGCTGTCTCCGTCTCCTTTCCTCCTCCTTCCTCCCCTAGCTCTCCTCTAAACTAATTGCACAGCTCACTGTGTCTGGAGGAGAGCCACAGATCGATCCGTCGCTGTTGAAATGTTAATGCTAATCGTATAACCGCTCCGCCAGCACCTCGCACTTCAGTGGCAGCTCCAATTAATCTCAGGTAACGCAGCGCGTGACCTTCGGCTCAGAGCCGGGGCAGCAGCCAAGCGATGCTTATGTAATTACACCATGAAGTGTGTAATCACCTGCCCTAATCCCCGAGGCCTCACAATTAGCTGAGGCCTCGGTCGCTGGGCTGCCAAGTGCTTTGCCACCCCGGACAGCCTGCAGATGAGTAACGGACAATTAAAGCGGCATGACGGGGGCTAGGAGGTGTCCGTTCGATCGTAATTAGCTGTAATCATGGGGAGACGAGCCTGGCAGACGTGCTGTTCGTTTTATAAGAAGCAATTTAGGAAATCAAGTCGCTTTTAACCATTCCATGGCCAGGCAAGCAGTGGCCATGCCCTCCCTGCCTTTTATAAATGCAGAAAAGGGGATCCTGTAGGAGAGACGACAATGCACAGAAGCCCCAGGTGCAGGCTGCACACAGAGAGCTCAGAAGGAAATGCTAAAAACAAAGAGACCTTCTTGATTTTGGCCAAGAAGAGACAATCTGTGCCCAGAAAGCATACTGTTTGATGGGAATTGGGACTGGGCACTGGAAAATAAAAGGTTCTCCTTTTGGTGGCAGCCCTATGTTAATCAGAGGCTATTTTTATGCTTTAATGTTGCAGTGCAGGGCCTAACTTTGATCCCTAAGGAATTCACATCTACTCGAGACCCTGCAGTTCCTTCCCTCTGTCCTCTCATCAGAGCTCTGCAGCTTCCCTGCCTTTTGGGGCCAGGGATCAGCTCGTACTTTGGACTGGCCGGGGAGCGATGCCCCAACTGGGGAAGGGGGGACGGCAGAGAAAAGCAATTGCTGTGGGACCCGAGCAGGCTGCCACACACACGGCTGAGCGCAGCAGCCTGCAGTGGCTCAGAAAGGGCTGGAGGGAGTTGTAAGAGGGGCTGTAAGAAACACATTAGGGGCGACTTCGAACGTGAGAGATCGGTGGCTGCTTATGATACACACACAACACACGGGATGAGTCCAAAGGTTTAGAAAATTCAGGGAGACACATTTACACGTGCTGTCATCATGCCTGCCTGACAGAGCAGACCACACGGAGACCCCAGCGTCGTTCCCTCAGCGACGCTGGAGCTCTCCACCAAACGCGCAAGGGCGAAGCTGCTGGGTGAGGCCAGGTGAACAGGACTGACCACAGGTCCTGCGACGGGCACTGTTACACCCGTGGAGTCTGTGGCCTGAAGTCAGAGAAGGGAGGCTGCGTACGGCCAAACAAGGAGTCATCGCACCTCTCCTGCCATCCCCCTAATGCTCAGCATCAGTCCCCAGGAGTAGATAACTTAGAAAGAAAGCAGGTATGCTCATGAATATTCAGGGGACAAGGGACTCTTCTCCCTGCAGGTAGATGGATACTCCCTAGCTCATGCTGCGGAGCCCCCGAGGAGCAGTGATTCACACCGCCTGCGTTACCACGAAGGACAGACGCTTTCTGCCGTCCCACAAACCCAGCCTCCTGGCCATCCAGGCGGGGAACCTGTTGGAGCCTGCTGCTGCTCCCTTCCAGCCCATCTGCCTGATCCTTGGCATGGAAACCTGGCACAGGAGGGAGGGAATACGACCAGGTCCTGTCCTGGCACAGAGCTGGAAAGCCCTCCCAGGCTGCCTGGTACAGATACAGCCAACTGCTTCCAAGCAAGCTTGGAAATGAATTGGCAACCCCGGAGTAAAAAGCCCCAGAGACCTTAACAAAGGCTACTGTGCTTTTAGACAGACGTGTACCAAAACACAAACCCTTGCATCCTTTCTCAGGTACACATCAGCCTTCAACCCCCCATTAATTTCCTTCCTTCTCTTCTTCCGCCTCTCAGAGTAAGGGCTAAATTACAGTTCCATACTCTGAGAATGTGAATTTAGCCCTTGGCAATTACATCTCATAAGCCTTGTCCTTACCTTGCAGAGAGCAATTCTGTGTTACTGCATATTCCTTCCCCCACCTCCTTTTTTTTCCCCCTAATATGCCAGCTGGAGGCTTGTGAGCAGGGTATTAGGGGATTTGCACTGCATGCTGCTAAATTTGATATGTCCTTTAACAGGAGACAAATGGTTCACAAGGCTTAAAAAGTATCGACTTTTCTTTAACAATAAGCACTAATGGCCTTCAAATAATCAATATTTAAAGTCATTATGGGGTTACACATTATACTGTTAAAACCAAGCCTTTCACTTTAACCCCATCCTATCCTCCCAAGCCCAGAGCAGTGCTCCCCCCGACTCACTCCAAGCTCAAAAGGAAAGCTCGGAGCACAGGCTGTGACTGGAGATGTGAGAGGGTCAGGAAATGCAGATTGAAACCGGCAAGGCATGGAAATAAATTTAGAACGGATGGAAGAGGGGAAAAAAAAAGAATGCATGAAAGCTCTGCTTTCTTCTGCTTTGCATTTGATAGGAAGAGACACTTTAAACCTGAGGTAACAGGCAAGCAGCACACAGCTCCTTGCTGGTTCGCCATCCGCAGACACTGTCTGTGCCAGGAAGGGAAAATAAATAAAATGAAAGGGCTTTCTAAAAATGGTGTTTGGGATTTCCAGGCAGAGACAGACACGTACTGGCGCTGCCCTTCTAGGGCAGCAAGGAGGCCTGGACAGAGAGAGGGTCTGGTTTATGCTGCCAGGGGAAATTGCTCCCTCAAAATCCAAACTGGTGCTAAAACCAAATTAGTTAAATCAGGTCAAGCTCTTTGGCCTTTGCTCTGCCTAACATTCAGCCAGCTGGGATCTGGTAAGGAATCCTCCCAGTGCAAAAATCAGAGAAAGAGGGATACAGCACTCAGAGCAGAGAGGGGGACGCGAGGCTGGGGTAGGAGAGAGAATGTGTCCAGAGAGGGCAGGAGAATGTGCCCAAGGAGCACAGGAGTGCAAAGGAAAGCCTCCGCGATGCGGGGGGGGGGGGGGGAATTAGGTAGCGAAAGAAAAAATGATAGCAACAGCAGATGGAAAGAACCCAATCCAAAAAATCCTTGCAGGGTATTTCAGGCACATCTTTGCGCAGAGAAAGGCCTCTGGCTGATGCACAATGTTTGTCAGCTTACTACAATGGCAGGGCAACGAGTGCATCTTCGAGACTCTGCGGCTCCCGCTCCCAGAACACTCCAGCCAAAGGGCTTGGCTTCCCAGGAACCCAGCAGATCAGGATGCTGATGGCATCTCACGCAGGCACTATTTCTTGCTCCTTGGCATTCCTCCTGCCTTCACCCCATAATTGTCTATGGTCCTGGAAGATGAACTGTGTCCCCAGTGTTGCTTATAGACGGTACCAGAGACGGCCAAATGCTATTATCAAAGTGTCTACCTCAACAGGCCCTTTCTCTGACTATAATCTGCCTTCTCCCCCTCCTGTGAGAGAGGCAGGTTCTCCCACACAGACCCCATGCCATATACTGTACGCATATGAACAAGCTCCTACCAACTCATAACACAGAACTGATGCATCGTATTTAGCCAACAAGCTTCACCACACTGATCACACTGCTAAGCAGCTCGTCCAGCCTAGTCTGCGCACTTTCCATTTGCCATGCTTTTCATTTGCAGGCTGTAGAAGTCTTTCCCTAAAGGGGGATGAAGGCAAGTGTTCCCTAGGCTTCACACACGCTAGCCTGCTCTGTGAGCAGCAGTCTGTCTGTTCAAGAGTACAATCAGGAGCGAGTTCTGCAGCACGTACCAGGAGATGAGCACCCTGGGTAAGAACATGCCAGGCTAAACGACCCCAGCAAAACCAAGAACGTTGCCAACAAATTTTGGAGAGAGGATCCAAGGAGTAGGATCCAAGCCACTCTGCATCTCTGCAGGCTACAGCCACCTGCCATTTTTGCAGGAGACAGAGCAGTTTGGAGATGGGAAGTACTCCAGGCTGGAGTAGTTACAACGACACCTTTTAGTTGTACCCTTTCCTCTTCCAAGTCTTTTTATAACACTGAACTCAACAATCTTTTCAAACAAACCACTAGGTCCTGGCGTTCTATAATCCGAGTCTGAATCAATCTAGAGAAGGATTTAGGAAACAAAAACCATGAAACCACACGGATTCAAGCCTGCAGCTTGAGTCTACTTCTGGCAAGACATACCACTTCTACTAACTCTTTTCGACAGATGAGGAAGCTGGAGCAAAGAGGTGAAGGGACCATTACTCCACCAAAAGGACCTTGGAACCTGGTGCAAGAAAATCCACATTCAGTGTGTCTGTGCGCACACGTGTGTGTTATCATCTCCTTCAGAGCCAGCACCCACCTGCCTGCCTGGGGCATTATCACTAAACCTACCAGCCTGTTTCTGACCAGCAAAGATGGATGCTAACTAGCTGACAAACGTCTGAACGTACCTATCTTCCCAAGTGTTCCCTAGCTCAGACTCACCACCCTGCTCTTCAGACCTGGAAACTGGAAAACTGTATCTGTAGTTCCCACTAGCAGGTACAGGTCTCTGCAAAAACAGCAGCATTGCCCCGATAAATAAAACTGGGTCACCAGTATAGGTTTTCCCCCCTTTCTTTGCCAGACGTAATGGCTGAAGTCTGGAGTGGCTAATTATTCTTGCCCACAAAGCTGCTGCACTTGAGAGCTGACCTGATCCCCACAGATCTCCCAATAGGAAGCCGAAATGGAATTTTAACACCATGCCAAACAGTTCACATCCCCCTGCATCATGGGTTATTACTTCTGCTCCTGGAAAAGGAGATGCCGTAAATCTACCCACAGTTTGCCGACGTACGTGAGCCAGCTTCCTCCATCGCCTTCTCCTCTGTCAGTGCCCACCTGAACCTTTTAAAATTTCTATACCGTCATAATAAAGGTGCACAGAGGGTCCTTTGATTTACCCTGTTGACAAAGACCATGGCAGCCAAGTACACAACCCAAGGCTAACAGCAACAGGGAGAATGGAAGGGAGGAATTAACCCATACAGTGCTTTACTGCCTTACAGTACTTGGCCACGGCTTCTCCTGGCCTACCTAAAAATACTCATGATGCTTTGGCAAAACAGCAAGAAACAGTTTGCATGTGACAGCTCCAACCAGGCCATTTGTGAGTGGGAGCAGAGTGATAGGTGCTGACCCTCAGTGACACTCAGGTGGCTGCCAGACCTCTGGGGAGAAATAACAATCATGTGAACTAACGTCAAGCAGACTGACCAAGTCATGACTACGGGGCATAGTTGTAGCTTCCCATTTCCCAGCAGGACTCCCCAGCTCTGCTAACCGGGGATTATCACACCTGAGAGCCTGGCCAAGGAGGCAGGCCACACAGGGCCTTCTCACACCCTCCTTTTGGGAGCAGATGGCTGCAGAAAAAACAAGCAGGCTGGTCTGCCATGCCTTGGCATGGCGGAAGGAGGAAGCACGGGACGTGCCCAGCCAGGCCCACCATGGTGATGTTCGACATGGTTTATCTCAAAACTCCTTGGAGAACTACTCTGCCCGGGCATTTAGAGCAGGTCCTGTACGTATGGCCCAAGGCGGGAGCAGTGTAGTAAAACAAAACCAGGGCTGATAGTGTGCTATGAACCTTGTTTCAGTCTGCAAACTCTTAGACAGAAATGAGACTACAGAATATGTATCACAGAGAAAAAGACAGCTTCTTTGTTTCGTTCCCACCAGCACAGCCACAGGCTGGTCTTGCTTATAGGCAAATAACTAGACCTTTACAAATGGGTGCGAATATCCTTGCTCCACACAACACCCACATTACACTGCTCTTTGAACTGAGGTGCTCAAAGGCCTTCCCAAACATTGAGTACAACCTGCTTTCGCAACGAGCAGTCACCGTGCAGCAAGGCAACCTGAGACACAGAGTGACTCCTGCAAACTTAATCCAAGGTCCCACAAACATTTCTCAACATCAAAGGCAGGTTGTGCCCCTATGTGTTCCTTTCCCCCTCCTCGCCTCGCCAGGATTTCCCTCTCGCTTACACCAATGCAACTGTCCATAGGGTTACTTGGAGAACTGAACCAAGATGAGGAGTAGGGGTCTTTTCCAACCGTTAACTCCTGGCCTTCAGCCTCTGTCCCCTGAGCTAGCGAGTAACTCCTCTCTCCCTCCCATAACGGGGGAGGAACACCAGCCTTAACTCCAGTCCTCTACTTAACCTGCTAGATAACACCCTCTTCCCAAATGATTTAACGCTTTCTGGCCTAGCCCAGCTCCATTAGCTAGAACACCTGTCTGGCAGCGGCAGGCACCTCTGGATTTCATACATATCTAATTCATTTTCAGTTTGCTCCTCCTATGTGCAGCACCTCACCATACGCAACCTCCACCCTTCCGTACGCGCCTTTCCAGCCAGGCCTCCGGCTGGCCTGGCACGGCTCCAGCCCACACATAACTGGAGAAATTTTCCTGATGACTGGCTGCACTGAAACTCATCTATCTCTGCATTCCTCACAGGTCTGCCTACAATCCGCACGGACTGGGCTGGATTTTATTAGGTGGGTTAGCCAAAGTACACCCTGCAGGAGAAAGGTTTACCAGGTCTGCCCAGCCCCTACACGTTGCAAAGCCACTGGGCAGAAAGAAGGAAAACGAGGCAGGATCTCCAAGGCCATAAATGGGAGGGGGACATGACTCTGAACCCAACACATACGTACGCCCGCTATAGCATTAATATTGCAGCCTGCTGCCTGCCCCCACCCCGAGATGAAAGCCAAAAAAGCCTAGATACTAGAGCCTTTCACGGCGTGTCCCGTGATACCCAGAGCCTTTGCGTCCCTGAGGCTGCCAGGCCCTCTCCCGCCTCTGCTATCCTTGTCAGAAATGCACGCAGCTTCAATTTAATATCCTTCTGAAGTTCTTGATTGTGGAGGGAATGGCTCATGGCACAGAGCAAGATAAATGAGCTAGAATTTCGGGGGGGGGGGGGGGGGATCAGCTTTCCAGCACTCCTGTCAGTGGTAAAGGGAAACCATGCCTCCTTCTTCCTCAAAAAATAAAATTTCTTCTCTTTCTATTCCATCCTAGAGCATTCGTTCTCTCTCATTATCTGGGGATGCTATAAAATGCAAACTTTAACATCTTAACTTGCTCTGTGCCAAAGAACAGGTTAGAGTCTAGCATCTGCTCTGGAGATCCAAGGCAGGACTGGGATCGTTCCCACCAGCCAGCCAGTCGCCAAGCTGGATGTGAATACATATGTGCACAAGCACAAATCGCGCACAGGCATCCCGGCATCTGGCAGGCACACATGCAAAACCACGCTTTGGCACCTGGGCGTAACGCCCAAGGGTGCAAACGTCCAGGGGGACGTTAACGCATTACAGGGACACATCAAATCTGCCCCCCCCTCCCTCCCGGAGCCTCACGGCCCCCGTGCACACGCCTTTCCAGCCCGGCTCCGAGGCTGCACACCGGTCCGAGAGCCCCCCCGCCCCGTACCCCCCCCGCCGGGCCCGGCGGCCGGGGGACCACCCGCCCCCGCGCGCG